CCTTTTATTTGTGCTTTTCATGATTATTCTATGATGCAAACTTGTCCTTTTTTAAACTTTAATTCATTGAGCCTTGAAATGATGAGGAGGAGGCTGTTGTCTAGTTAAAAAGTGGCTCTGTGCTAATTTCTGAATGGAGAATCCCTTTTAAGCTGAGAGAATGAACAGATTCAGGAATTTGGGGAGCTAACTTTAGGGTTTTTTTTTTTTTTTTGAGATGAGGTCTCACACTGTAGCTGAGGCTAACTTTAGGTTTGTTTGGTTTTTTTTGAGATGAGGTCTCACACTGTAGCTGAGGCTAACTTTAGGTTTGTTTGTTTTTTTTTGAGATGAGGTCTCACATCGTAGCTGAGGCTAGCCTTAAACTCATAGCAGTCCTCTACGTCGGCCCCCGAGTGCTTGGATTGTAGGTATGTCACCTCCAGCTTTCTGAGAGTTAATTTTAACAGAGGGTTGGACAGGTCTGGATAGGTCTGGGTGAGTCTGAACTAGCCAAATTCTGCGAACAGGAAGAAGGCAGCCCGTCTGAGGCACCACACACACTGGTACTGTGACAGAACCTGCGTATTCAACTTACAGGGCAGCAGTGGAAAGTATTTTCTCTGTTCGATGCCACTGTGTTCCAGAGACTTCAAGAATTTTATACAAGCACACTAGGCCGTCTTCTACCGAAAGGGTGGACACGTTGTTAATTGCACACTCTTGGGGTGTGTTCAGGTTGAACCTAAAATTGCTGCTTTTCGCCACTTGCTGAGGGTTTAGTCACCTCTGCATCTCCATGGGGCTCTGACTGAGAGAAGGAGGCAACATTAATCATACTGCCTCACATTTATGACAGGCTTTAGAGTTCACAGAGAGATTTCACATCGATTATCTTTTTGTACGTCTCAGCACCCCTGTGAATTAGGTGTGGCAGGCATTACTAATGCTTTTGTTAGTCAGTAATTCAGAATTGGACAAAACATCCCAAGGTTTAGTATATTTTTTAACTCCTGCTCTAAAGGAGGCAGTGAGAGAAATCCAGTCACACATAAGCTCCACTCCGGTAACAATTTTCCTTCAGAAGGTATCAGTCCAACTGTCTTGTAGTCCTAATCCTCATGCATGTTTACTGACATAAAATGAGATGTCACCCTTGGGGCATTCCCAAGGAGCAGTCTTCATGCACCTTCTCCAGAGCCCCCATGGGAAACTTCAAGTCCACAGTGAGCTTCCTTAGTGTGGGGTCTGAGTCATAACACCCAAGGCACAGGCAGGACTCCTGCTGGGGATTATAGTAAGCAAGGTAGGATGTTTGGTGTTTCCCAACCCACTCAGCCACGTACTTGGGCCTCGATGCTGTCTGTAGAGACATTTTCCTAGCTCCCCAAAGATGCCATTTCAAAGGAGTAGCATTGAGGCATTCTAAAATTTACCAAAAAGTATTTTCTGGGTCAAAAGACCCCTTCCTAATGAACTATGATAGGAATCTGTAGCCACAGCGAGGGGCCTGATGCTTCTCTCTTGACAAGAATGAGTTGATGAGGATGGGCCATGGATCCGATCACAGGGCTCTGTTCTGTGTGAACATCAGCTTGTGTTTTTGCTGCACCAAGACAATGTGGTTTTGTTACTGGCCTCATATTTGTCACAATAATCTACAGCATTAACTCACAGACATTCATGGTTACTTGTGAACAACCTCAGTATTTATGCTTCAAAGACTTTGTATAACCCTCTTTGTAATTGCTAATATGTAGGAAATAATTTCCTTGTAGGATAGGCTGCCCAGGACAACATGTCTCCCCTGTAGCCTTTGGTCTTCACAAGCATGTGCCAGGTCCTTCTGAGTCCCACTGTAGCTGCGATGGCCTTCAACCTGAGTTAGCGTTTTGAAGGTGTCTGTTTTCTGCCCCATATAACTATTCATTCTTGGGCTAGGGTTGTATCTTAGCGGTGAATCTTAGTGGATCTATAGCTTAGTGTTTGCTTAGCATGTGCAAGCCCCTGAGTTTAATCCTCAGCACTGACAAACCAAATGAACAAACATTTATCCATGTTAGTATTTTTAAAATTCATTTATTTAGGTTTGGTTTATGAGACAGGGTTTTAAAATTATTTTTATTTAGATGTATTTGTGTGTGTGTGTGTGTGTGTGTGTGTGTGTGTGTGTGTGTGCTCGCACGTATGTGTATCAGTGCAGTACCTGTGAAAGCCAGAAGAGGGCATCAGATCACTTGGAACTGGAGTTACAGGTGGCTATGAGTTGTCCAGTGTGGGCACTGGGACCCAAACTCAGGTCCTCTGGAAAAGCAGGAGGTCTTTTAACCACTGGCCCATCTCTTCAGCTTCATGTTAGTATTTTTTGTTGCTGAAGTTTTCCTGTGTCCCACCTGGCCCATGGTCAGGACAAATCTCTCTCACCCGCCAGTCCGGCAGCCGCTTGGACCCAAGTAAACACACAGAGGCTCATGTTAATTAAAACTGCTTGGCCATTAGCTCAGGCTAACTATTGACTAGCTCTTACATCTAAACTAACCCATAATTCTTATTTATGTTTAGCCACGTGGCTTGGTACCTTTTCTCAGTTCTGCTTTTACATCTTGGTTCCTCTGTGTCTGGCTGGGGACACCTGACTCCACCCTTCCTCTTCCCAGAATTCTTCTAGTCTGGTCATGCTGCCTATATTTCCTGCCTGCCTACTGGCCAACCAGTGTTTTATTAAACCAATTTGAGTGACAAATCTTTGCAGTGTACAAGAGTATTATACTACAGTAATTTTTAAAGTTAGAAATTATTAGTTAATTTTCTGTATATAAAATGGGGCAATTGATAGAATTTGTGGAGCAGGCAAGATGACTTTGTGGGTAAAGGGCTCTCAGTGAAGCCTGATGACATGTGTTTGATTCCTGAACTTATAAGGTAGAAGGAGAGAACCAACTTCCACAAGTTATTCTCTGGCTTTCATAGTGTCCAAACAAACAAACAAACAAACAAAAATAGAATCTATGTATATGATTATAAGGTCAATATGTCTCCTGTCTTACTTTTAATTTCTTAAAAATTTTAGTCATACCCGTTGTTTTAGTCAGTGTTCTGTTGCTGTGAAGAGACACCATGACTGTGGCAACTCATAAAAAAAAGCTTTTAATTGAGGCTCGTTTACAGTTTCAGAGGTTTAGTTCATTATTTTCATAGTGGGCAGCATGGTGTCACACAGGCAGATATGGTAGTTGAGAGTTCTATATCTGGACCCACAGGCAGCAGGCAGAGAGAGAGAGAGAGAGACACGCTGTGCCTGGCTTGAGCATTTGAGACCCCAAAGCCCCGCCTCCCCACATGCTTCCTCCAACAAGGCCACACTTCCTTATCCCTGTCAAGAAGCACCACTCCCTGATGACCAAGGATTCAAATCTGTGAGCCTGTGGGGCCGTTCCTACTCAACCACCACAGCCTTAATCACTTTATACCACTAGAATGGGTGGGAATGTGGCCGAGTGGACATTTGATTCTACTGAATTTTGTTTTTTGATACACACTTGAAAAGTGTACTATCATATCATAGTAACATATTTATTAAAACAAAGTAACTTTTTAAAAAGTTTTTTTGTTTTGTTTAGTTAGTTTATTTATTTACTTCGGTTTTTTTTTTTTTTTTTTTTGAGACAGAGTCTTACTACATAGCTGGGTCTGTCCTGGAACTCACAGAGATCCGCCTGCCTGTGTGTCTCCCAAGTGCTGGGATTGAAGGCGTGTGCCACCACTGCCTGCCAGAATTTTTTATCTTATACGAATGTTTGGCCTTTATGTATGTGTGTGCATACCTGGTGCCCGAAAATGTCAGAAGAGGGTGTTGGATCCCCAGAATTTAAGTTATAGTTGGTCATGATCCATTTCTTGCATTAAATATACTGAACATGAATAAGTAATCACAATAAAAGGGCAGATTAAAGAATCTTTTTTGTTTGTTTTGTTTTGAGGCAGAGTAGCCCAGGCTGGCCTTGAACTCACCATCTAACTGCCTCGGCCTCCTGCGTGTTGGGACTGCAGGTGTGGGTGACCACACCCAGCTTCACTCTGTCCACTTTCTAAGATCAAATACCTCCTGACAACTAGGAACTACCTCACCAAGCCAGGCTTTCTTTTGGGCCAACAACGAGCTCCCAAGTCATGACACGGAGACTTATTCTTAGTTATGAGTGCTCGGCCTTACGTTGGATCTCATTTGAATCTGTCTCTCTTCATCTATGTTTGCCTTGGGGCTTTTTACCTTCCTTTCCTTTGGTGTATCTTACTCTCACTGCTCCCCGAGTCTTGCTGGCCCCAGCCGTGTCCCTCTCTTTCTTGTTCTCTCTTTCTTCTCTTCTCTTTTGGTCTTCTTGAGCCTAGATTTCTCCTCCTGTTTATTCTCTCTGCCCGCCGGCCCCTCCTGTCCTTTCTTTGCTTAGCTATTGGCTGTTCAGCTCTTTACTAGAGCAATCAGGTGCCTTAGGCAGGCAAGGTGAAACAGCAATACGTCTTTACATAGTTAAACACACACAGCATAAACAAATGTAACACACCATCTCTACATAGTTAAAAATTCTACAACCCGTGGTGGCTTATTCCTGCTGTCCTAGTGCTGTCAAGATAAAGACAGGAGGGGCAGGAAATCAGGGCCATCCTTGTCTACTTAGTAAGATGGAGGTCAGCCTGGGCTACCTGAGACCCTGTCTCAAAAATTCAAACACCAACTAAAATAAGAATTACCTTATATCACCACTGCATTGGCTTCCTCATGAATTACACAACCAGAATGTTTTGTAAAACCCTGATGAAGAAGAATCTATTTTGATGAAATCTAAGTAGGTATTTGAAAAGGATGTTTCAGAGTGAATTAAGACTTGTTCAGGGGATGACTGTGACATGACCTTTGAATGACCTCCCAGACGCTAAGAAATACCAATATCCCGAATGAGGCTTACAAAGGGTATCCAGAAAGTGCCCGAAGCCTTAGTTACATGGCTCTGTTTGTTTCTCAGACTGCCTTTTCAAGGTGTGCCCTATGAATCGATACTCTGCCCAGAAGCAATATTGGAAAGCCAAGCAGGCGAAGCAAGGAAACCACACCGAGGCTGCCCTGCTGAAGAAGCTCCAGGTAAGCGGCTGCTGTCTTGTTCCGACGCTGGCCTGAGAGCAACAATAACAAGCAGGCACTTGGCGCCTGGCTAGCTGATTTCACCAGCATGTGGAGATTTCAGATAGAGCCTTGATGCAGAAGTAAGTCATTTAGCTGTAGGGCGTACCTACTTATTTCCTGGCATGTGGGCAGCACATCCCCACTGTCATTTTTTAAGGTGTGCAGGACTAATTCTAAGCTGCTCACCAAACTAAAAAGGAATTAAAAATCCCAATCTAATTATATTTTACTCCATATGATACTTATTTTTTTCCTAACAGACTATGGAGAAAATAAATTTTTTTTTTTGGTTTAACTGAGTATGGATTTGATAGTACTAAGTTTTTTATCATTTAAATTCTTAGTACTCTCAGAGTTTAAAACTATATTTTGAGATTTATTAATTCACCTGCTTTTATGACACTTTCAAGACATGTAGTAGAAAAGTTCCTAATTCTACAGAGCTTTCCACTTAACTTAAATTTGCAGTAAAGAAAAAAATGGCCCAGGACAAGTTTGGCTGTATTCAGCATAGATTGCAAAGTTGTCACACTTAGGATGGGGTGTGGATATCTGGGAGCCTCGTGTAAACGTGTAAATGTGCCCCCAATAACAGAAAACTTCCTTGCTGGGCATGGTGGTGCATGCATTTAATTTAATGCATTTCAATTAAATCCATCCATTGCTCCATTTATACAACATTCTTTAAAGAACAAAATTTTAGAAATATAAAACAGATCTGAGGTTAGCAGAGGTTATGAACAGGCGTAGGTGGGGGATGCAGGAGGAGATGGATGCTGTAATGCATGGAGAATATGACCAATCCCAGGAGGAATGCTCTCTTTATCCTAACTGTAGTAATAGATATACAAATCTACATACATAAATGATAATGTATATGACAAAACACACACACGAGAGTATAAATGAAACCAAGCACATGTGATTATATTATCCCAATTATATTAAGAATTCTTACAATTTGACAATATATATAAAGACAGCCTACTGAGATCTGGACAGAGCACTCCCAGAGACTTGTGCCCAAAGATCTGATACAGCCAACAGAACATGGGATAACTAGAGAATAACAATCAAGTTCACAGTGGAAGCTGGGCATGGTGATGAACACTTGTAATTAAATTACATTAATTACAGCACCCGGGAGGCAGAGGCAGGTACATCTCTGAGCTCGAGTCCTGCTTAGTCTACAGAGTGAGTTCCAGGACAGCCAGGGCAACACGGAGAAACCCTGTTTCGACCCCCACCCCATTCCCAGTAACACAGCCAGTCTGATTTGTTCTTGTTACTAAGATCCCCTTGTAAGTCATCTCTCCCCTCTCTTCTCCACGCCGAACACTCGGCTGCCCGCTTGCAGCACGCGGCTGAGCTGGAACAAAAGCAGAATGAATCAGAGAACAGGAAACTTTTGGGAGAAATCGTGAAGTACAGCAATGTTATACAAGTAAGTCTCCATTTCTCCATCAAAGAGGGAAATATTTTACGGGTGACCTGTCAAATCACCTTCATGCCAACTGCATGAAACCCTCGTGGTGCCATGCTTGTTCTCTGGTGGGGATGACCATTAGTATGAAGCGTTCAGTGAACATCCATCGTGCCACGTATGTATTAAATATGTCTTGTGCCAGGCCCGAAGGTGACAGCATGCAAGCCCCGATGTAGGCCATCCATGCGGACACACAGAACACTGACCTCTAGGTGGGAGCCTAAGTTACCACGGACAAGACTGTGCAAGAGGGTGTGTGAGGCCCAGGGGACACAGTTCTTTAGATGGATGGGCTGGTGCTCAGTGTTGGGTGGAGGGAAAGTTTTCAGAGTGCACCTTTAAGGGCAGTCTTCCTGTGGCTTTCAGTCCCCATTGTCAGTGTGCAAACGCTGGTTTATCTCAGCTGCATTCCTTCCCCATGCTTCATTCAGATCTTTTAGGCTTTTTATTTTGGTTCATTTGCTAGTAAGTGCCCCACCTTGTTCCAAAAAGAATGTGAGACCTTTTCCAAGAAATACAGCACACTGGGAGATAAAGCCCGGGCTGCTGAAGGAGGCAACTGGGTCGAAGGAAAGTGATAGGTGGCTGGACGAGATGAAGTCAAGGGTGAGCTTATTTAGAAAGTTTGGTAAACTCCAGTCCACGGCATCGCTGCTGACCCCAGCCCAGGGCATCACTGCTGACCCCAGCCCAGGGCATCGCTGCTGACCCCAGCCCAGGGCATCACTGCTGCTGTTGACCCCAGCTCAGGGCATCGCTGCTGCTGCTGACCCCAGCTCAGGGCATTGCTGCTGCTGACCCCAGCCCAGGGCATCACTGCTGCTGCTGCTGACCCCAGCCCAGGGCATCACTGCTGCTGACCCCAGCCCAGGGCATCACTGCTGCTGACCCCAGCCCAGGGCATCACTGCTGCTGCTGACCCCAGCTCAGGGCATTGCTGCTGCTGACCCCAGCCCAGGGCATCACTGCTGCTGCTGACCCCAGCCCAGGGCATCGCTGCTGCTGCTGCTGACTCCAGCCCAGGGCATCGCTGCTGCTGACCCCAGCCCAGGGCATCACTGCTGCTGACCCCAGCCCAGGGCATCACTGCTGCTGACCCCAGCCCAGGGCATCACTGCTGCTGACCCCAGCTCAGGGCATCGCTGCTGCTGACCCCAGCTCAGGGCATCGCTGCTGCTGACCCCAGCCCAGGGCATCGCTGCTGCTGACCCCAGCCCAGGGCATCGCTGCTGCTGACTCCAGCTCAGGGCATCACTGCTGCTGCTGACCCCAGCCCAGGGCATCGCTGCTGCTGACCCCAGCCCAGGGCATTGCTGCTGCTGCTGCTGACCCCAGCCCAGGGCATCACTGCTGCTGCTGACCCCAGCCCAGGGCATCGCTGCCACTACTTGGCCACAGGAAGGACCTTGTCGCAGTCAGTCCTGGTAGTGGAGGTCCATAGCATAGCACTCATCTGGAGGCTAGAAGCACAGATATTCCCAGAAGTGAGACCAGGAAAGTGTTTCTCTTGCATGCTCATAAAGAGGACACTGTTTAAAATGGTAAACAATGGCCCACACAGGTTCCTTACAGTAATCACCACAATGAGGCACTTTATAAGGTGGCTTTAAAGAATAATGTCTCCTGGTCTTTTGTCATGGACCAATGGCAATGTGCCAAAGGGCAGGGCAGAGCTGTTCCCCACAGGACAGGAGAATGTGTGACCTCATCTTGTGATGGAGGGAGTGACTTTCGGCATGGTGGGACTGCATGCCCCTAAGAAGTCTTCCAGAGAGTGTCTCTGCATTGAGTTTTGGTGACTCACTTAAGGTCCTTGTCAAGTACTTTAAGTACAAATGCTTGTCTTAGTTAGGGCTGCACTTTGTGCTTTGACACAGACCATGGAGTTGCATACTCAGGCTTGAGGGTGTGTGTGTGTGTGTGTGTGTGTGTGTGTGTGTGTGTGTGTATGCGCGCATGCGCGTGCATGCATGTGTGCGTGCATGTGTGTGTGCAGGTGCATGAGTGTGTGCGTGCATGTGTGTGTAGGCGCATGAGTATCTGTGTGTGGAAGCCTGAAGTCAGCCTCATCTCAGGTGTTGTTCTTAGGAGCTGCCCCACGTTGTTTTTGGAGACTAGGTCTCTCACAGGCCTGGACTTGTGGATCCAGCTAAGCTGGCTGCCAGGGAACCCAGGGATGTGCCTCCCCAGTGCTAGGATTACACGTGTGTGCCTCTTCACCCTGCTTTCTATTTTGACTTTTTCACTTGGGGGATTGAACTCAGGCCCTCATGCTTATAAGGCAGGCAACACTTGCTCACTTGAGCTATCTCCCAGACCCGTGGGTTTCCAGGCCTTTAGCAGTACAATAACCAAGAGTCAGACCTGGAGTAGTGCACAAAGACAATTCTTTTTTCAATTAAGTTTGCCATTTTACTTTGGAATAACTTCTGCCTCATCTTATGGGAACTAAAATGTCCATTCTCTCTTGAATGATTTTGAAAATAGCTGGGAAGTTCATTTTGTCTTTGTAGTTAGCTTATGTTTTGGGAAGACGTCCTTGGCATCCGTAGAGATGGGAGAGGCGAGGGCTGGTCCTCCTGTATGCAACTCAGAAGTGGGGGGGTCAGCATCCTTGCTGACTCTGAAGCTACAGAGGGAGTTAGTGCTGTCTGTCTGTGGGCAGAGGTGCTCAGGGCGTGGAGTTGGTGTATACCTTCCCCCAGGCTTTGGTTTTCTTTAGCAGATTCTGTTTGTGTGGCTTTATGACTATTAGAAGTGGGTGAGATTTCGGGGACCCGTCAGGTCCTTTTTTGGAAAACCTAGTTTTAGTCTGTTATTTCTCAGTGGATGAAGGTTAAGTCTTTAGTGTGCCCTGGTGTGCCCTCAGGCAGTCACCATCACCCTTGAAGCAGAACTTGGGGTGGAGGTAAGGAGGAGACAAGCAGCTTGGGGAGTTGGTGGTGGCTGAGCCTTAAAAGAATTCCCGTGTTTAGTTTCTAGCATGCATTGCGGTGTGCGGATTTATGAATATAACTACCCGAGGAGACCATACAGGCTCTAACGCATGTCTTTCCCCTGCAGCTCCTGCATATAAAAAGCAACAAGTATCTGACTGTCAACAAGAGGTTACCCGCGTTACTGGAGAAGAATGCCATGCGTGTGTCTCTGGATGCTGCGGGGAATGAAGGGTCCTGGTTCTACATTCATCCCTTCTGGAAGCTGAGAAGTGAGGGTGATAATGTAAGTACGACATGGGAAATCAGGAGGGAGCAAACGGCATGTAATGCTCTTAGAGAACTCAGGAAGTACAGAGAAGGGAATACAGTCTTCAGCCAGTTAATTCTAAACTATTTAAGTTAGCATATGAAATAATGGGTTGCATTATGGCAATTATCACATATGTGTCATTGTACTTTCTAACACATTTGGTGTTAGCATTTTTAAAACTAGGTTAAATGCATTTGTTTACAATATACACCATGCTCAGCAATCACAGGACAGAGTTCAGCTCAAGTTGGAGTCATCTCCAGCCAGAGTGTGTGAAGCGTTTTCAAAGAGGCAGGTTATTTTCCTGCTTAGTCAGGATTGAGCTTGCTTGCAAGGAAGAGTGCCACCATGGCACCTAGCCTTTTGAATGAACAGGGAACAGTGAGAGTCGTGACAATGTTCCAGCCAGTATCTTCACAGCCAGCTTCTTACAGTGTTGCCACAGTGTGCAGTGTTGGAGGGACTGTGACATCTCCTCCTGGTCATGACTATAGAGTGGGCTGTGCAAATGGCCTCGATGCTTTCATTGTCTAGAGCAGCGGTTCTCAACCTTCCTAATGCCGAGACTCTTTATAACTATAATTTTACTACTGTTATGAATCATAGTGTAGCCATCTGCATTTTCTGATGGGATGGTCTTAGGTGACCCCTGTGAAAGGGTCATCAAGCCCCAAAGGGATTGTAACCCACAGATTGAGAACCATTGGTTTAGATCTTTTCTGCTATTTGGTAGAAGAGGAAAAAAAATGTGAGATAACTCCCTAGGAACCATTGCTTCATCTTATTTATTTATTGAGATGGCACCTCACTGTATTCTTGCCTGACTTGGCACTTGTTGCCCAGTGTAGGCTGGCCTCAAACTTGTATGGGTCCTCCTGCCTCAGTACTAGCCTACTGACTGCTGGGATAATAGGTGTGCATCACCACATCTGGCTAACAATTTGGTATTTTTGTGGTAGTCCTGAGCACTTAGAAGATGCCTAGTGAAGGCAGGTTTATAAGTAGAATTCCTTACAAATGCCAGGTGATATGTACTTGCCATGTGAAAAAGTTAATGTGAATTCTGACTGAAGTGAAAATGTCAAGAGTTTTCACAATCAATAATTTGTTTACATCTTTTGTGTATCAGAAGGTATTTCTTATGTTAGAAATGTATTTTTTAATAGAGCATCTCTTTTTTCCAGTGAATTTTAAAGTACAAATTCAATTCCACAGGACATGAGCACCATGATTTAATTGGGTTTATAAATTTTCTGGTGATGTCTTCCTTAGGTAAGGCTTGCGATGCATGGCATGCAGGGATGTATTGGATTCCTTGGAAAACCAGTGCCGCACCCCCCCCCCCATTTACTTTTGACATGAAGTGATGTGTGCTGTGAGCATGGAGCATCTTTGTTCTGAATGTGTAGTTAATTACAATCAACTCTCAACTATTCAAGGGCTAAAATGCAGCTTATGAACTACACACTTCCCTTGTACGCTGTCCCCACCCCCAGCTCCTACATTGTCCTCTTTAGGTGGTCCATGAAAACTAGACATCAAATCAAACAAATCCTAACTAAGCTCAAACTCGGAATGAATACATTGACTGATGCCAGGAGCCTGGGCTTTAGGCTGCTGTGGATTTCATGATCCCCTGTTTGCTCCCCTTTCTCTTCCTCTTGCTGCTTGCACACTGCTTGATAGTATCAGGAGAGAGTTGGATGTAACCAACTACTTTAGACAATTAGTTTCAGTAGGAAATTGGAACAAAACAAAGCCTTTCACTCAAACCCCTGTCTTGTGGCTGCCCACAACGCCTTGAGTTGTTCTTATCTGGATGCACTCCACAAAGCCCGGCTGCAGCAGCCTTCCACCTTCTGACTGACACCGTCACTGTGTTCCTTCACCTCTGTGTAGCTTTGTGTGTGAGGAAGGTTCCCGGGGAAGGCTGGCATGTCCACAGCCTTGTATCCGCCTCACACGGACTTGTATGCAACTTCATTTTCTTGGCTAGGAATAGGCAGTTTGAAACGTCAAACTACTGTAGTTTGTTGAAGGCAGTTGCAAGGTCTCTTTGAGTGGTTTAATCATGACTGAGATTTTGCATAAGTATATTAAATGAAGAGGAAATTGCAATGTTCAGAGGAATTTTAAAATTAGAGTTTGCTATTTAGCAATGTGTGAAGTACTGACTTAGGTTGTGTATAGTCAACAAGAAGCCCTTCAAGCTCAAGTGGAGAAGGATGCAGAGGCACCCGGAGCACAAGCTGCTCCTTACACTAAGTGCACAAAGGTGCGCTAGGTAGGAATGCACGGTTTGGGAACCGGGTTCACGGGTCCCTCCACTCTCAGTTGTACAGAAAGTCCTGGGTTGCTGCTAAGTAACCGGAAAAGTTGCTGAGGACACCCATGAGCAGAAAACATTAACATTTCATTTCCACGTGTCCTCTTTAGTTTGAGTAGATTCTTTCATTTTCAGTCTTTTTTTTTTTTTTTTTTGGTTTTTTTTCGAGACAGGGTTTCTCTGTGTAGCTTTGTGCCTTTCCTGGAACCCGCTTTGGAGACCAGGCTGGCCTCGAACTCACAGAGATCCACCTGCCTCTGCCTCCCGAGTGCTGGGATTAAAGGCGTGCGCCACCACCGCCCGGCTCATTTTCAGTCTTGACCCAAGAAGACAGGATCCTTTACACTGAAAGTGGATTTAGAAGCGTGAGGAGGTGGGATTCTTTTGTAAGTCAGTGGAAAATTCTGCTTACTGAGGGGCTCTATTGAGCAAGCAGATTTTGTGATTTTATGAAATGACAAGCCTGCCGTTTCTAGCGGAGGTAGAGCTGGAGCATTGGTACTCTGAGTCTCATCGGGAGGTCCGTTTTACTGTCCCAGGCAGCACTTCAAAGAAGGGACAGCCAAGTCACAGGTGGCATTCTTGTCAGTGAAATCACAGCTTGAGTGTGGCATGGCCACTGTAGACCAACAGAAGTACTTTGGGAATTTCAATTCATTTCTTTCTTTTTTTTTTTTTTTTAAAGATTTATTTATTTATTATGTATACAGTGTTCTGCCTGCATATGTCCCTGCAGGCCAGAAGAGGGCACCAGATCTCATTACAGATGGTTGTGAGCCACCATGTGGTTGCTGGGAATTGAACCCAGGACCTCTGGAAGAGCAGCCAGTGCTCTTAACCCCTGAGCCATCTCTCGAGCCCCTCAATTCATTTCTTAAAATGTGCACTACTAGAGTGGTGAGGTAGTTGATTGTAAGATGTAAAATGTAAGGGCCTCACCCTCTGGTTATATATCAGATAGACAGTTTCTTAGCTCCAGCTGCGTCAGCAGTTCAGACCTGAAGCCTCACTCTTCTGAGAATAATTCCAACATATCTACGAATGTGAATTCCCTGAGATTATGAACTATTTCTTATATACATCTGCTTTTCCCTAGCTCCACCTAAGTGTTATCTCAAGAAGATTTACTTATCTTTATTTTCTGTTTATGAGTGTTTGCCGGCACTCAAGGGAAGGTTGGATGAGGTCTAGAGACCCGTCTTGCAAACACAAGCGGCAGCCTTCCTGTGTTCGGTTCTCTAGATACAGTTTGTGGCCACACAACTCCTCAACATTATCCACTTAGGGTCATGTGACGCTGGAAATATGAGCATGTGTTTTGGTTAAGGTACATGGAGTTTGTTCTGAGTCCCAATTGTTTTCTCGTTTTCATATCAAACCGATCTTTAATTGTTCTAATATGTAATCGGTGTGAAACACACAAAGGGAAGGTTTTTAATTTTGCTTCAGAGTGGGAAAGCCCCACAGTTGGGAATGTAGATGCCATATAGCCATCTTCTAAAGAAATTAAGGGGGGCTGGAGAGATGGCTCAGTGGATAAGAGCACTGGCTGCTCTTCCAGAGGACTTAAGTTCGATTACCAGAAACTACGTGGTGGCTGACAACCATCTATAGTGGGGTCTGATGCCTTCTTCTGGCACAAAGGCATACGTACAGATAGAGCACCCGCATATGTATGTAAAATAAATAAGTCTTAAAAAAGAAAACAAACAAAAGAGAACTTGAGTAGTATAAGTCTCTCCAGTTACTAAAATCACACTGCTATTGCCATGAAGGAAAGGTAATTTTAATTCCCTCAAATTGAATTAAATATAAAGATTTTTGCAAGTAAAGTAGACATTGCCACTATCACACAGATGAATATAAACACAGACTTAGATCTTTTTAGTACTTTCCCCTGGAACCCTGATAATTCTTAGTTTTAAAAGAAACATGGGCTCCTACAGTTCTGGTTTTGGATGTTTCAAGTAAGAGGGAACCAGATGCTCCAGGCCAGACAAAGCATAGATTTTTACAAGGTCATGCCCTGCCTTGTATTGCCTGTGTCCAGATGTCAGGTGCCTTATAATTCTGAGATTCGGGATGAATGGTTAACCAGACTTGCCTCTCAGTGGGAAGGGAGCAGGGAGGGATGTGTTCTCTGCTGCCCTGATAAGACTCTGACACTTGAGGAGAGGAGTGTCCTGGCAGCTGCCTTCACTGTTTCTGCTGCAAGGTCTTTTGGGAGGAAAATAGCCTAATTCTGACCTTTGAGGAGCTCCAGCTGACATGGAGACTAATACGGAAAGGGTCTGAACTGTCTTCAAGAGTAGGGTTTGGCAGGCACCAGAGGATCTGACTGCATGATCATGTATTTGAACATGCATCTCAGGAGTTACAAGTTACAGTGTGTGGAATGGCAGGTCCAGGAGGCAGGTTGCTGGTGAGGACTGTGGGTCTTTCCAGCCTCACAGAGCATCAGGGGATGTTTCTGATCCCCAGATCGTCGTAGGAGATAAAGTTGTCCTGATGCCCGTAAACGCTGGGCAGCCCCTGCACGCCAGCAACGTGGAACTCCTGGACAACCCAGGCTGCAAAGAGGTGAGTTCAGGCAGGAAAGGAGGGGGTGTTGGTTTTCTCTAGAGGGAGGGAGGGAGAGAAAAAGGGAGAGGATGGGAGGAGGGAGGCCTTGCCGTTTCTTGATTCTCTCAACACCACCCCGCTACTGTTAGCATCCTTGGGCATCTGTAGGAACTAGCTGTTTTTGAATGGTCCTTTGAAGATGTTTTTTTATTGAAGCCCACACTTCATTGGTCATAGTTGTCTTTTTTCTTCTCTTCCTGTTTGAAATGAAAATTTGGGGACAGGATATAGAGTCTACTGTCACGTCTTTTAACGTTTGTTCCATGAACAGGTGAATGCTGTTAATTGTAACACGAGCTGGAAAATCACTTTATTCATGAAATTCAGTTCCTATCGGGAGGACGTATTGAAAGGGGTGAGTAAGCTCTCCATACAAACCTCCGTTTTCACGTATTCCACTGAGCACCAGCCCCCAGGAATCTGAAATGTGCCCATAGTCACCCATGGAAAGTCACTGGCCCCAAAGCCCAGGGAGCCCAGACCAGAAAGGAATTGCCAGGCCTCCTGTTTGCTGTCCTGGTGACTATTGGAAGGCCAGCCTTCTTCACCTCTCTCCAGGGAGACGTTGTGAGACTGTTTCATGCCGAACAAGAGAAGTTTCTTACCTGTGATGACTATGAGAAAAAGCAGCACATTTTCCTTCGAACGACCTTGCGTCAATCAGCAACTTCAGCTACGAGTTCTAAGGCACTCTGGGAAATAGAGGTGTGTGCTTTTTGGGGGGAGGGACTTTTACTAATGTTTAGATAAAAAGATAAAGATAAACCAGGCTATTGGCTTTGCTGTTATGTGCAACACTGGTGGCATGTTCATAACATGGAATGATTTTTGTGAATTAACACTTATTTCTTTGTGGCTATGACCAATTTGAAAGGAATATGTCATAACGGAACCCATTACAAAGCAGAACAAATAGATCGAGGGGTTGGAAAGAGAAAAAAGTCCACTAGGAACTCGTCAGCGCTGATCAGACTGGAAGCCGTGTGCCCCTGGGCCATGGCTGGTGGAGGCAGACACCACGTATAGCCACAGAGAATGGTGCATATTTTTCCTTTGAATGCCATCAAGAGGCTCATAGTTATGAATGATATTCACCAGGCTGAGACAGGAGGACAACCACAAGTTTGAAATCAGCCAAGTCTCCTAAGCGAGTTGGAAGTATGGTTGTTATGCAACTCCTGGAAAGGGCTTCATGCAGCATGTGGGGACCTGGTGTGGTGCTTTATTAGACCTTTGCAATTCTTTAGTCTGATAATAATATATATTATATAGAGTCTTACTTTATAGTCCAGGCTGGCCTGGGACTCACTGTGCATAAAGTGACCCTGAACTTTTTGGCAATCTTTGTACCTCATTAACCCAAGTACTGGGATTTTATGTGTGAGCCACCATCCCCTGACAGGAAACATGCCTTTTGCATTAAGACAGTGTTTACAGGTGTGAGGCATGGACACCCTCAAGTGAGGTATGACATGTCTCTCACTCACTCTTGGAAAGTTTTGTTTTCCTCCACATTTAGATGGGTTGGCATGCTCTGCAGGGTATGCTGGCTGTGGACACGGGCTGGCGGGTGGATAACATTTGTTGCTGAAACTCTTTAGGTGGTTCACCACGATCCATGCCGTGGCGGTGCAGGCCAGTGGAACAGCCTGTTCAGATTTAAACATCTTGCAACTGGGAACTACTTAGCCGCAGAGGTAAGACTGTCAGGCACAGCGTTGTTCAGTCTCCGTCTGAAATAACGAACCAGGCAACCCCTTTCTGCAAAAGTCATTGTGTTGTCAGGGACAGTTTCTGTAATTTGATTATTGCCTGTCATGCCCGGGGTGGCATTTTGTTATTTTTCCTGTTGTTATGATAAAATATGCTGACAAAAACCTCAGGTGAGAAAGGAGTTATTTTGGCTCATGGCTAAAGGATACAGTCCATCGTGGAAAGTTAGGGCAGCAGAACTTGAACTAGCCAGTCAGAGATGATGAGAGCTGCTGCTTTTCATACAGCCCAAGATCCCAGCTCAGAGAATGGGGCCACCACAGTTGTCAAGTCTTCCTGCCACAGCCTTCTCGGGATAACCCCCATTGGTGTGCCCAGACACCCTTCTTTCAGCTGATTCTAGATCTCAAGTTGGCCCTTGTAGTTAACCATCCCAGTTAGACTATGAATGACTATTTTGTGTTTGTACATGTAATGTATATATGTTTGTATGTGTTAATATGTGTGTGCAGGATGAATGTGCATGTGGGGACTTGTGTATGGAGACCATCTGTCAGCCTCATGTCTTTTTGCTCAGAATTCCTTCCACCGTGGATTTTGACACAGGGCCTTTCACTTTTACTGGAGCTAGCTGATTAAGCTAGGCTAGTTGGCCAGGGATCCTCTGTCTTTACCTTCCTAGACCTGGGACTATAGATGATGTACAACTACCCAGCTTCTTTTGAACTTCCTTTTCCTTTTTTCTATGTGGGTTCTGAGGATCAAACTCAGGTCCTTGTATCTGGCTCTTTACTGGTAGAACGATCTCTCTGGCCCTGGCACTGGAACTATTTTTAAGATGAAAACATTAGCCAAAGACTTAAACAAAATCCAAACAGCCAACACAGGGAGGCGTAGCACAATGCAGAGCATGGGATTAACATGTGGAGCAAGCCCTGGCTCCATCCCCAGCATGGCAGCAGCCAGCAGGCAAGCAGAAGCCACTGTTTTGCTGATGTATGTGGTTCCATGTGGTTTCACTCTTCACACATCCGTGTGTTACACACATGGTTGTTCCCTTTGGGTGTTGTGTAGCTCAGGCAGTCTCAGGCTCATATTCTTTATCCATCCCTTCATGAGCAGCTGGCTTTTATGGCTCACACTATGGAGAGGGAAGGGACTCTTTCCCATGTGCCGAGCTACCCTGAAACACCCAGTACAAGTGGGAAAGCATCTCAAGGATTTGATTGGGTTCTTTTCTGCTGCTGTGATAAAGTACCCTACCGGACAGGCTGAGGGAGAGAGGGGATTGCTTATGGCTGGGAAGTCTTGGCTACAGGCAGGGAGGTCATGGCTGTGGGCAGGGAGATCATGACTACAGGCACAGAGGTCATGGCTACAGGATCAGGAAGCTGGCTGATCACATTGCACTAGCATTCAAGAAGCTCAGAGTAAACAGGAAGTGCAGCAAGGCTCTAAAACTTCAAAGCCTGCCCCCCACTGACAGTTGGGCCCCCAAGACAGCAGGGCCAGTTGCTGACCAAGTGTTCAAATATCTGAACCTGTGGGGGCATTTTATGTTCACACCGTAACAAGGCCCTTTTCTCTACTAAAAGCATATGGACAATGAGAGATAAAGGAAGCTTAGGAATAAACTCAGGGGGCTGGAAAGATGGCTCTCAGTGGTGAAGAATACCTGCTGATCCTCCAGAGGACTCAAGCTCCATTCCCAGAACCATGTCAGCTGACTCACAACTGTTCCTGTAACTCCAGATCTAGGGGATCTAACCCCTGTGGCTTCTGAAGGTATCTGTGGTCATGTACACACATGCGCACTGGCACACACACACACATACACACAACGTGCACACACATATAAATAATAAAAATACATTCTTTTCTTTAAAATAAATAACATCAAGAAGTCTTAGAAATGATTTAAATTTACAAATAATACTGAAACTATTTTCCAGTGTATAAACACCCATTCACTTTGCTCTCCCCTATATCTTTTAATCTGGAGTTCTTTGGGGTGTATACATCAGGATGGAGTTTAGACTTCTTCCTATTCTCTGGCATCTGTGAGGAAGGGTAAAGAAGGGAGCAGGCTTGGAAAACTGATGAGGGGAGAGTATGGGGAGCTGATGGGTCCTCTAGGTGGGGTGACTGTGTGACCTTGGGGTGCCCTCACATCCTCGCCTGTCAGGTGACATTTTCACAGAACCTACCACTTGAGTCACTGTAGTTTTGTTTGAGTGACGTAACCACCTGATGATGATGGGGCTTCCTGAAGGCTGCATTTCCCCCTCATTAGTCTCCACAGCACAGAGAGCAACATCTTTTCCCTCTAGAGTGTTGAGGGCTATGTTTGAATGAGTGAATGAGCATAAGGAAACTGTCCAGGTTACCCTGAGACGAGAGACTGGGAAGATTTCAGAGCTTCCGTGTTGGCATTGTTGGGACCTGTTTGGGGCAATCATCTCTCTAAACTCCTCACCCCTGCTTGGCAAATTGAGCACAGTCAGGGACGTAGTTAATTCTCCTACTTGAACGAAGTAACAGTGCATGCTTGGCACGTGATGTAAGTGCCACGGCTCAAGGCCAGCATGGCCAGCTTCGTCGGATTCACCCAGGGGTTCCTCCTCATCGGTCTCTGACCAAAGGAAAGCTGTCTTTGAAATTCGTGCTGTTCATACTGTAAATGTTTGGTGCAGTCCTCTGGAAGGAAAATGTCCAGTGTGGTGAGAATCTTGTCTAAAATAGGAATTGAAGAGTATCGGGAGATGTCCTAGGGAAGAGGAGGAATGAGGATTACCTTCCCCTTGGAGCCTGTGTTGGTGGCTTTTTCCTCCCTGTTCCTGTTTTCAGTTAATGCTCTGGTAGCTGGGAGGGTCCACATGAAGCTGGCATGATGCGCACAGCTGGTATCAGTCTCCGTATTAAAATACATACACAAGTGATTAGGTGATTAAGTCTAACTGTCCATCACGAATTCAGAGACCTCAATGTGAAGGTGGATTAACTACAAGCTGACAGACGAGGAGCAGTTCCTTTCTTGTATAGAACTCAAGACTGTCTTTCCGCTCTGTCTCTAGGAAGTACAACTTTTTTTTTTTTTTTTTTTGGAGACAGGGTTTCTCTGTGTAGCTTTGCGCCTTTCCTAGAACTCACTTGGTAGCCCAGGCTGGCCTCGAACTCACAGAGATCCGCCTGCCTCTGCCTCCCGAGTGCTGGGATTAAAGGCGTGCGCCACCACCGCCCGGCTAGGAAGTACAACTTTTAATGCAGATGTTGTTTGGTATGGAGTATTTGAAGGCCCTTTTCTGTGACCTTTAATTCTTTGAGTAACATCTTTTTTAGTGGCAGAGTAAGAGAAGGAGAATTAAGCACTAAATGTGTGTCATGAAATGGACGAGGACTCATTTTCTACAGACTGTCAGAAAGACTGCGTCCATGGAGAATTCCAACATGGAAGGCATATATTTCCTAGGTCAGTTGTTTTGAGATCCCAATATACTCAGATGCCAGGATGCTAGTCTTCTCAGTGTGAAAGGTATCTAGAGATGAGACAAAGTCCATTATTGTCACTGTTACTTGATTAAAAAATAATTTCCATCTAGGAAACAGGTGACAACAGCTTCTGAGAATCACTGAGAAAATCACAGTGACCCTCCCACTACATTGCATTTACTTACTTATTTAGGTGCATAAATGCTGCTGCTGGTGGTGTGTGTGTGTGTGTGTGTGTGTGTGTCTGTCTAGGTCAGAGGCAAATTTGCAGGAAGTGGTTCTTTCCTTCTCATGGGGTCCTGGGGATTGAACTCAGGTCCTTAGGCTTGGCAACAAGCTCCCTTACCTTCAAAGCCATCTCACTGGCTATCATTTTCTTTCCCATCCAAGTCTTTGACTTCAAAGCATTGTGCATGTCATCAGATAGCTCTGGGATCCCCGATGTTGTGAGCCTCAGCCTCCTGGTATTAATTGGTTTATTCTGTCAGTGTATACTTTTCATCTTCTCTGTGGCTCTGGTTTATCTACTCTTTAACTTTTCAGTGTTTTAATTATTACTTTAAAAAACAAGATGTTGGAAACACAAAGAGTTAAGAATGATTAGTTTTAGAATTTGTATAAACAGCCAGCATCAGGGCTGGGGACACAGCTCAGGGACAGAGCACTTCTGTGGCATGTGGGGAGCACATATGAGACCCTGGGTTCCAAACCCAGCACTTTAGCAAAGAGAGAAAGGTGCCAACCAGCAAGCTAACAAGAATAGCGAGCAGTGTTGTTAGACTCCGAACACCTTCAGTCTAGGTTTGTTTAGTGCTTGACATGTGTGTTATTAGGGATGAGGGAGAAAGCTGCAGGGAAGTGGACGAGCTGGTCTTTGTTCTCTGGCTGTGACCACTTAGCTCCGAAGACAGCCTGTCTTAAGTCAACACAGACCCCATGCAAGATACTATGGTGTTATCAGTTCTGCTGTTGGCACCATGAGGTTAGTCACAGAAGGGCCCTGTCTGGGGCAAGCAGTTCCCTGGTTCTCAGAGAACAGCATGGACGAGTTGGCAGATAAATCAGAGGACAATCTGTGTAGAAGTCACCTAGGAGGTACAGACAGGGAGGGGACAGATCATACAGTCAGGGATGATTGTCTTAGAGTTTCTTTCTTTCTTTCTTTCTTTCTTTCTTTCTTTCTTTCTTTCTTTCTTTCTTTCTTTCTTTCTTTCTTTCTTTCTTTCTTTCTAAGTTTTATTCTATATACAGCATTTTTTCTATATGTATGTCTGCATACCAGAAGAAGGAACCAGATCTCATTAAAGATGGTTGTGAGCCACCATGTGGTTGCTGGGAATTGAACTCAGGACCTCTGAAAGAATAGCCAGTGTTCTTAACCTCTGAGCCATCTCTCCAGGCCCTTGTCTTAGAGTTTCTATTGCTGTGAAGAGACACCATGACCACAGCAACTCTTATAAAGGAAAACATTTAACTGGGGCTGGCTTACAGTTCA